CAATTTAACATTTCATGATCAAGTGCATAAAGCTGAATGAAATCCCTTTCATATAAATGAATCTTAATATCAAACAAAGTACTACAAATAAGAGATTTAATAACATAGAATAAAACTAAGGAATAATTTTTTAATGTTATAAAATTATTATAAATAAAAAAAAAATTCAATTATAATTAAAAACTTTCAAACACATTCAATATTCATAAACGTTTCATTAATTAGGAATTTGAATCAAATTTCAACCAATGATAATGAAAATAGTTAAACTGACTAAATGGGTTATAATCCAAATGTTTATTTAACAAGTTTGCGACTAATTCATAATATAGGTAGGGGCTCGATCTTCAAATAGAGAGAGCATTTCTCTCGCAAGTGAAACGACCCGTTCGACCATAAGTCAACGCGCGGGCACACACAGTGTTTGCTGATGAGAAGGATGGGGGTCTTAAGGAAGAGAATTTAATAATAATAGGGGGGAGGGACGATGGTGGATGCTCTTGTCGTATAAGACATGGATGTAATCTTGAGGTAGGGGAAGGGTAACTCATACGTTAAGACGGTAGACACATTCCAACGTGTAACAAACGTTACCCACTCTTAACCACCCCCCCCCTCTTTCTCTTTCTATCCCATCCCATTTAGTCTTCCACCTCATTCTGTTCGATATCGAAGGTGGTAGGAGTGCGCGGCGACATAATTCTAATTTTATTGCCAGTCCCGGACGCGCACGCAAGCCGGCTCTCGCTCCTTGGGAACGCGAATTTATGGGCGATTTTTCTTATTAATTTTCATAAGTTCGACATGTGAGCTTGGCTTGCGACAAAGCCAAACTTGCCTATCCTTATACCCGTTCCATTGAACCCTGCCTATCCCACTCTTACACGAGCCTCACTACTCAAGGTGGGAGGGGAAAGGGGGGGGGGATAACCACGCTTCTTCTGCGATATGCTATCGCCCCCTCCTTTTATATATATAAACGACAAGAGGAAGCGGCTTATTGAAAAGATGCCGCTCAGATTCGGAGGGTTTAATCCCTCTAACCCTCATGTTGAGAGTGTACCTTGCAACTTTTTTACGAGAATACTTGAGCGTCACAGAGAGCGTCTCCTTATAAGGGATATAAGTCGCGTCGAATTCTAAATTAAAAAGTTCTCGATGAACTCAATTGCAATCGCGCCAACTAACAAATTAAAAGAGAGTATGCCTCTTACTTTTCACGATAAGTTGAAGATTTACGCGAAAATATCAATTTTCATAGATTAATATTATTATTCAAAAAATTTGAATACACTTGAAAAAATTTATTTTATTCAAATAATAATCGGTTATCATATAAATATATTTACTGGAACCAAATAATTTTTATTTAAATTAAATCAACTATATTTAAACCAATCACAGAAAATTAAAAGGCATTAAAGTAAGCTGCAACGCTTATTATTTTAATGCCATTTAATTTTCTGTGATAATTTCTGTATTTGTAACAAATTACTCCGGAAATAGTAAAGTTTACTCCGGAAATAGTACACGGAGAAAAAGAAAAAGTAATTTTTACTACTTTCAAAGTAAAACTGGACCAACTCGAAGTTTCTGCGCATCTCTGGTAATTTTTACTCCAAAATAGTAAAATTTATTATTTCTGTAGTAAATTTTACTGTTTCCGTAGTAAGTTTTACTATTTCTAGAGTAAATTTTACTATTTTTGGAGTAAAAATTGCCAGAGATGCGCAGAAACTTCGAGTTGGTCCAGTTTTACTCTGAAAGTAGTAAAAGTTACTTTATAAAAGAAATCTTTTTTCTCCGTGTATTTTTTTTTTCACTCTTTTCGGAGCAAAAGTTGACAGAAATTCTACATTTAAATAGTAAAATTTACTTTATTTTTCATTTCCATTTTTCTCCATGTAAAAATAAAACGTAAAATTTTATTTTCCAAAAAAAAAGTGCAATAATCATATACCATATATTCAATCAACAAACACATCAAGCATAATTTTTTGCTTTGTCCAAAAAAAGAAAGTCATATAAAGCCACAAAGAGAGAAAGAGAGATTTAAAAGGGAAGTAATTTCATACTCTAGCGACGACCACAAATTGACATATATACATGTATATATACACTCTATTTGTATATAGCTGTGTACGACTCTTGAAAAATTAATTGGCTTTGCTCTAGATTTCATGTGGACGCAGGTCACTGTCGTAACTTATTTTTCTCTTTAGGACGAAGAGCAGACAAGTGCAAATATAAAATGCAAAACAAGGGTAGGGAGAGTTTGGAGACAGAATATTCGAGAAGTCGAGCGAATAAGAACGCCTTCCGAACGCTTTGGAGCTGTAAATAATGGAGGGTGACGAAAGGAACGTTTCTGTTCAATATATATATATATATACAGGCAACAGGAAAACAAGTACTGGATTCAAGTATAACGGAGGGATGTTGCGAATTGAAAATTACATGACAAACTCGGGCCGCGATTTACTGTTCCTTGCGACAAATTGCGAATAAACAAGTCCACATTTCGTGAGCGCGACCATTGTCGAAATTGGTGCAAACTTAAAAAAAAAATATTTGTCACGTACGAGAAAAATCTTCAATATTTTTCATGTAAATAAAAAGCGCAATTTATTTATAGAATAATCATGAATTTTTTTCTTAATAATATAGCTTCTTTTAGTTTTTAATTAACAAGATTATTTTAATCACAATGGTAAAACTTGAATTGATTTTCTATGGATAAATTTTTTTTTAATCTTTGAATTAGCAAATAACATTTTCCACAATGGTACAGTTATAATACCAATCTTAATATAGTAATTTATTAATATTATTTTATACATAATTAAAAATAATAAAGCACTGAAATACTTCTTTTGAATTATAATAATATCTCGAATTAATTAAACTCAGACAGCAATTTTTAATTAGAAATCTATTGGAAATGTTGAACCTATATAATAATAAACAATCCGAACTGATCAAATGTCACAAGCTCAAAGTGAATAGCTAAATTGAAATTTCACGTAAATTGCATCAGAAAAAAACATTCCTTTTTTACCGGGTAAAAATACAAAAAAAAAACCTTTATTTGTACTTTTTTAGAAAAAAAACAAAAAAACCTTTATATATTTTAGATGGTTCATACATCAAATTTTAATTTAAAAAAATGTTCATTAGTCAGATAAATCAAGTAATCATCATAAAATAATATTTTTAAAAATAAAAATTTATTTTGACATTGAAGTCTGTCAGTCTGTAAGTCAAGTTCTAAGTCTTTATGGCCAAAATAAGATGGCCTTTTTTTGTAAATGCAACTCGTGCAAAAACTCCAGTGCGACGACACTATGTTTGTCTGTAAACCGTGTAACGTCATTGCAAATAGAACTCAACTGCCCTTTCTACTTTTGTGTATATATATATATATACTATATACGAAACTAGCAAAAGTCAAGAACTGCCAAAGCTGAAGATGTTTCTTATATTTTCATTTAGACGAGTAAAAAGTTTCTTTGAAATGTAACTGCAAATTGAAAGTACTCCCTACTCTGTTAATAATGCAATAAAGAAAACTCAACCACTTCTAAAGCGTTTTACTTTGAGAAATTAAATAAATTGCTCAGAAGAGCGTTTAATTTTTAAATTGCACTTTATATATTTTTCATAGATGGTGAGGAAATTCATTAAATTTTTAACGATCCTGGCTGAAATATATATACATTATATTTCAAATTTGTGATAAATTGCAAAAATATATTTTCTCCTTTTTAAATTAATTTTACACTTTATTCTTAAAATGAGAATATTCTCATTTTTTTCACAAAAGGAAAAATTGTCTTTCTTAATTTAAATTCAAAATTAATTTAAGAATGAACTTTAATTATTTTCTTTTTTAAAATTATCAGTTTTAATTGAAAATGAAAGGCTATAAAAAAATTTATTTGTTTTTAACATTATTTATAATTTCAAATTCTAAAGAAGAATTAAAATATCTATACCTATATTTAAATAATTACCCGCAAAATAAAACAAAAACGTGTGATTTAATCTAAATTTGAAATTCAAATATCTTTTCAATACAATTACAATGTATTCTAGAAATAAAGACATTTATTTTTTATTTATAATTAAATTATAAATAAAATTCCAGTAGAAATGTTATCTCTCTGAAATATAAGAGAATTTACATCAACATTGCACTATTTCTAGATATAGCGCAATAATGAATTAATGATGATTTTTGATAATTTATTAAACCAAAGACATTTACATCTTTACGATACTTCGAGTTTAATAATAAAAGATACGAAAATAAATGCAAAATTATTAATTTATCCGCGAAGTAGATTTTAGAATAATAAAATAAAAAAAAATGTAAAATGTTGAGGACGAATGTAGTTCATATTATAATATATATATATATATATATAGAGTATTCTGCAGTTACTTGTGGGAAGAACAAAATGAGAATAGCGAAACGATTCGACGAATGAGAAGCAAGGACTTTGGATCATTTAACGAATTAACAATTATAATTCCCGCGATTAGAATTCTTGTCATTAGCATAAGCGCTCGTCACGTTGAAACTGAAAACTTTTGCGGTGCCCGGCAAACTGAGCACCGAAACGAATATAATTTCACGTGATTCCATTGGAGAAAAGAATGAATAGGGAGGACCCTACAAAAAAAAAGGGAAAAAAATTGGATTGAGGAATACGAATAGGGTTCGATGAAAATATGCAAATGTTCAAAATGTATTCAGAACTGAAACATATATCGAGATTTTGCATTTTTTTTTTCTAATTGTACCATTTAAAATTCGCGATCTGTGGTAAAAAAAAAATGTCCATTTTGCTTTAAACTTTTAAAAATTAGTATAAATTTTTCAATTTCCATTAATTGAAATTTAGAAACTAAAATTAACTATTAATTAAATTATTATAATTTTTTTTTTAAGTTCAGTAGAAAAAAAATTGTATGTTTATAAAAAATATTTCTCTAACCTTATAGTCTGCAACCAAGAAGATTTGAAGATATTTCGTATGAGAAGATCTGGTAGAAACACTCGCGATTTAAAAAATTTCGCTCACTCCCGAACTTTATATAATATAAACAAAATACTTTTTTTAATATTTCAGCGATCGCGATTTAAAAAATTTCGAACACTCACGACAAAAAAAAATAATTAGTAAAATAAAAAAAAATTCGAGCACTCCTAAATCTGTTCACCTGAAAAAAAAATAAAGAAAATATTTGAAAAAAATATAAATTTTGTTTTTTAAATTACACAATTTCAAAATTCATAAATGGTGATTTTTGCAAACTACTAGAAATCAGCTCTTTAGATAATCTAAAACCTTATCCTCAACTGATAATAGAATTTTCGCTTAAAGATTTCTACTTTCTTTTTTAACACTAACAACGTTTCCTGCCTTATCGATATAGCTTCAAACTACCTCACTGTACACGAACGTACTCTGGCGCCAGATTCAAATAACTACTCCCCTTTCCAACGAGATATATCGACGTAGAGTCGCAGAACATCACATTTATACGGGTAGACTGCCCGTAGGCACTTCAGTCTCTGCTTGGGACGTGAAGGCGTGAGCATGGGGTTTAAAAACAACCCACGAGGTGCATTATACGATTTTAAATAATTACAATAAAAAAAAAAATCATTAACTCAAAAAAATGATAAAAAATCGCGTCCAATGACTTGAACAAATTTTAAACAAAAACTACCCCTATTTCATTAAATAATCACAAGTACGAAAAAAATTCGCGCAAATAAAATGAAGAACATAATAATGGGACCCAATTTACAAATTCAAGAAATTTATATTTTATCCATATCTTAATTTTTTTGTCAAATTTTTAATTATAGATTTTAGACAATATTATCGAAGCTCAATGATCGGTGCATATGAGCGCAAAAAAAAAATCACGCGCAAATCAAGGGTGTTCGTGAAATGAATAATTATGACATTCTGAATCGTCGCTAAAGTGAACGGGATTTATGCGCGAGTGCTCACACTACTTTTATACAGTGGTGTTGAAGAAATTAAATAAATAAAGAAAGAACAAAATAAAAAAACAAAACAAAAGACACTCGCTAATCCTGAGGGATACGATTATAAGGTAAGTCGATCATTGTTTCATGACCATTATGCATTTGTTTGCATCTTTCAACCTCAAAATAATATATGTACAAATATGCAATTAAAATTCATAATTTCCTCTGGCAATATTAACAAGGGGCAATTAAAACTATTTACTTTGAATTGACTTTGCGGTTTGAAGTAGCAATACTATTCACATAGCATGTGTAAATAATTATACTTAAACATATAGAAATATCACTACTATTACAAAACTGTGCTTTATCATCATTTATAATTACACAGCAATACAGTAACTTGTACTTGTTTTGCAGTATATCTATTCAAATAAATCTTGAAATAAAGTGACATTTCATATTTAATGAATAATCCATTTAAACCAATAAAAATTTTAATAGAAATTTAATAATATATAAAAATAACAATATATTATCTAATTAATTATTGATAGTATTTTTCTATACTTATTTTATATTCAGACATTATTTTCACTTTTTTTCTTAATTTTTTCTATACACTATTTTATTCATTTGATTTCATCAATTATAAACATCCAATAAATAGTAAAAAACAATGTTTACTGTACCTATTAAATTGCAAAATAAAAACGAAAACACTGGAAAAAAAGTACAGTACAAAAAAATGTTTATTGTCAAGGTTAAACTGTTACAGTTAACGAAAGTTTATTTCAGAACCTTTTCATGGTCAAAAATTATATACATTACAAAATTTAAATATACCTCAATAAAAATTCCTGACACGCAGAGAATTAGAAAAACTCTCTAAGCCGATAATTGAATTGTCTGTTTCTTAATTTTTCATTGCCAATGACCACATTCTCGGCATTTTCACAGAAAAAAAAATTGTTTGGAAAAATTACGCAATACTATACTAATTGTATAATTCAATTATAAGCCACACGAGTCACTTTTAATCGTTTCTAACGAAATTATAATTTTACTATACAAACATTTAAATCACTAATCCAATTATTTATTATTTATGTATTTCATTATCTAAACATTTTATTTCATTTGCATAATTATTTTCAAATTGTATTTGAAATATATAAGTATATATTGATCAATAATAATAATAATCATATTATCAAAAGATTATTTAGGTCGTCCTTTATTTTTATTGATTGATGTTATTGTTATTTTTATATATTATTCATATTTTGGAAATACTTATCAGTTAATAACTTCAATCACTGAATCCAATTTCTAGGTGTTCAAAATTCATTTATTGTGAAATATCGTGTTTGAAAAAAAAATGTAGGTAAAAAAAAATTCAACACACATTGAGAAGAAGAATTGTTCACGAGCCTATATATATAATAGATAAAAATATATTCCACCATCTTGCGTGTAAACACACAGATACACACAAGAGTCGAGTTCGCCCCTGCAACCATATCTCAACGATAAAGGAAGAATTATTATCGAGAGTAGTATGATTCATGAACTAATCCTAAGTTTCAGCTATAGCTAATTATTCACTCGACCTAGTATTTTTTTCAAATCCTCGAGAAATAAAAAAAAAATAAAAAAAAAACCAGGAAAAATCAATTTCAAACATAAAAATATTTTCTATTTATTTAACAAATTGTTTACGCGTAATTTAAAAAAAAAGAAAAAAGAAAAATAGATTAATTTTTCCGTTTTTATACTGAAAAATAATTTATATAAAAAAAATAAAAAAAAAATTTATGGGAAATTGTTCTGAAAAATAAAAAAACTGTACCAACATATATGTAGGTCATGCTGATTGTAAATAACATATAAACAATATTAACATATTATGTGAATTTCTTGATATATGTTTAAACATCATAATATTTATGATATTTGAATATTTCACTAGGATAATTAACCCATAGCTTTATGGAAAATCATTAGCATATTTCATTAAGCATTAAAACGATCTCACTTTTCTCTTATTTCCATTTAACGACTGACATATCTAATGTAAAAGTTATACAAATTGGAAAATACAAACTAGAGCAAAATTTTCTATAAGTAAAAAAAAAATTTATCATTATAATGATAAATTTTTCATATATAAAAAAATCAAAATCTTATTTTCAATCAAAAAGAAGATTAAGAGAAAAACGTGTCTTTGCATCAATTTTCCATGTAAATAACAAGGAATAATCAAAAAAATATATCAAAAAAAAAAAAAATTAAAGAAGATTAAATCGAATGAGGGTAAATGCTTTATGGTATACGCGAACACTATACGTCGGCAAACGGTGCGGGGCTTCAGTTAAAAGTGAATGGAGAACCTGTCCATTCACAAGATTTTCTACCAACAAGAAACTTGCGTTAATAGCGTCGGCAACTATTGTGCATAGCACTTGAATGCACGCATTTTATACAGTTTTTTATTTTATTTTATTTTATTTTATTTTTTTTTTATAGGAAAGAATCAACTTTTGCCACTTAAAATATCACATTATAATCGTCGGGGACGTATATAAAAACCATATTTTATTATTCTATAAAAGTAGAGCCAAGAAACGGATGCAACTCGATGGATGAGAAAGGAAAGCATTTTTCCATAAAAGACAATAGATCCTACTAACGACATTGAATGTGGAAAAAAAGTATTTCACAGTAAAAAAAAAATAAAGTTCTCATAGTGCAGTCCTGTATAATGAGAATGATATAGAGAAAAAGTATATTCAATTATTTATATTTATTGACATCTTCAAATATCAAGTTCCAAGGAAATTCTTTCAATATATCGATCATGATTGACACACCAATGTTGGAATGTTTGTTTAGTGGTATTATGTTTGATAGACATAGATAAATATATTCTCTTTAAAAACCATATATTTCTTTGAAAGAATAATAACTCACTTTTCGTTATTTCTATATATTTACATAATGAAACAATAAGTTTCTGAGTTCAAATAGGTGAAAAAATATAATTTTTTTATGATTAAGAATCGTAAAATATATATTTTTCCAAATATCCTAAATTATCTTCGAGTATTTGAAGTATTCTGAATTATCTCAAGTATCCTCAATTATCTGAAGTATCGTTAAATATTCGGAGGTACCATATGAAGTACTGAGAATTATCTTGAAATATCCTGAATTATCTTGAAGTATTCGAAGTATGGTGAATGATCTAAAGTACCCTAAATTATCTAAAGTATTCAGAATTATCTTCAAGTACCTTACAGTACTCTGAATTATCTTAAACTGTTTTTAAATATTCTCAATTATCTGAAGTATCGATAAATATTCCGAAGTACCATGAAGTATTGAGAATTATCTTGTAATATCCTGAATTATCTTGAAGTATTCGAAGTATTATGAATTATCTGAAGTACTCTAAATTATCTAAAGTATCGGGAAATATCTTCGGTAATTATGCAGTACTCTGAATTATTTTGAAGTATTCGAAGTATTGTGAATGATCTAAAGTACCCTAAATTATCTAAAGTATTCAGAATTATTTTCAAGTACCTTATAGTACTCTGAATTATCTTAAACTGTTTTTAAATATTCTCAATTATCTGAAGTATCGATAAATATTCTGAAGTACCATGAAGTATTGAGAATTATCTTGTAATATCCTGAATTATCTTGAAGTATTCAAAGTATTATGAATTATCTGAAGTACTCTAAATTATCTAAAGTATCGGGAAGTATCATCGGTAATTATGCAGTACTCTGAATTATCTTGAAGTATTCGAAGTATTGTGAATGATCTAAAGTACCCTAAATTATCTAAAGTATTCAGAATTATCTTCAAGTACCTTACAGTACTCTGAATTATCTTAAACTGTTTTTAAATATTCTCAATTATCTGAAGTATCGATAAATATTCTGAAGTACCATGAAGTATTGAGAATTATCTTGTAATATCCTGAATTATCTTGAAGTATTCAAAGTATTATGAATTATCTGAAGTACTCTAAATTATCTAAAGTATCGGGAAGTATCATCGGTAATTATGCAGTACTCTGAATTATCTTGAAGTATTTGAAGTATTCTGAATTATTTAAAGTATCCTCATTTATCTGAAGTATCGTGAAATATTCTGAAGTATACCATATGAAGTACTGAGAATTATCTTCAAGTATTGTGAATTATCTGAAGTATCCTGAATTATCTAAAGTATTTTAAATTATCTAAAGTATATTAAATTATCTGAAGTACCCTAAATTATCTAAAGTAGCGGGAAGTATCTTCAAGTATCTTGCGGTATTCTGAAGTATCTTAAAATATTTTGAAATATCCTCAATTATCTTAAAGTATTCAAAGTGTTTGGAGTATCCTAAATCATCTAAACTAGTGTAAATTATCTCAATTATCATATAGTCAATTTCCATTTTACCTCTCATGCTTTGTATCTATTCCTAATTAAAAAATATTTTTAATCGTTTCTCTTAAATTAGCATAGGGACATTTGATTCTTTCAAATGTTATTCTTCCTCATGTTCTCCATCATGCTGAGAGAATTTTTTCGTCTTCTCGCGAACTAAATGAAATCGTTAACATAGATCGGTGATTAAGATTGAAAACCTTTTGAGGCTTACGTGCAGAATAATATATATAGTTACATAATACATATAAGAACTCTCTATTAGGCCGCGTGGTACACTCTCGATCATCGTAAAGAGTTAAAAGTTGAGGGGGGGGGGGCAAAATAAATATATAAATAATCGTGGCATGAAACGCCACGAACTCGATGCACGTTATCGATTTCACATTTCAAACTGAACGATGAGTGCATAGACGCGCGTTTCAAGTTACGAGGACACGCTTCACATGAGAGCGCCGGGGCCCTTTTCCATATATATATATATATATATATAAAACACACACGGTAGATCGCTTAGGAAAATAAAGTTCAAAATGGAACGTGGATGTAATAATGACGGAGATAATCCATCTCGTTAAGTGGACCAGGGGGGTCCACTCTGTGTTGTTATAGTGATGCATGATAAACGACTTTAGAAATGTTACAAGCATTATCGGTATATACCTCGCACGCGGATGTAAAGTGAAGATATCGTATTTCTTTGTCGAGCACTCAACATATTGCACTGTATCTGATTTTTTTTCCCGTCCTTTATTTATACAATTTCCTGCCTTTTCCAAAAATTTCGAGAATCCTTATTCAAATATTACATTTTACACACGTGGAAAAAATTTAACCTTTCATAAAAATCAAAGTACGGAATTTTGGAAAAATTTTCAATTCTTTTTTACGTATAATAATCCTTTGGAAATACCATCAGTATTAAATGGAAAGTTACAAAAAAAAATATACGGCATTTTTGAAATTTTTTTACCTTCTTCAATATAGAGAAGAGATAAATTTTTATAGATCATTTCAAAAGAACCATATATATTAAAATTTTAGGATAATTTTAAATTATACTATTGTAAAAGAATATTATATTTTTTATGATTAACTTTCTTCTCGGGAAATTTAAATGTACACATATATATATACTTAAGATGTTACAATTTCAAAGCATTTATATATATGTCTCTTCTTGTCGAAAGGAAACATTAACACTTAAGTGTTAAGTGCCCGTAGAAATTCAAACGGACCTTCAATTAACGCTCATTTGCATTAATGCTCATTTTTGCTAGAAATATGTTTTCTAAATTAAATAAAAAATGAAAATTAATAATAATTATTATTATTTCTCTAATAATCAGATTTTGCACAGGAAAAAGGAATTGTCTCCTTGTGGAAGGAATAGATCCTAAAAGAATATCATTTAGCAACAGATGCTTACGAATGTTTGCTGAAAGAATCTACAACTAAAATTTTTGCTACAACTGCTAAAAAGTTAGCTTATACAGAAAAAATGGAAAAACAAGCGATAAATGAAGAAACAAAATCTAATCTAAAAACTAATCTATGAACATATAGAGAAAAATTTTAAAACCATTTTCACAAATAAAGTTTATGATTTCAAATATTCCTTTATACCTTGCATAAATGTTTCATATCCCATGTAACATGTTAACCAAGTATTATATTATATATTCTGCGCAAAATATTATAAAAGGTAAAGGAGTATAAAGTGCAAATTTTTCTTTACTGGTCTCCTAAGGAATATAACGAGAGAGTATCGCCCACGGGACTATATGTGTAAGTGCATATGCTCGCAATTACGGTTGCCATACACGTGTATATCTGGGATCTATTTGATATCCCTAGCCTCGCTCTATATTATCCTGAATATTATCCTCTCAACGACAAAACCGTAAGCAGGTCGAATCAACGCATTATGGATCAATTTTTTTTTATGTAATTGTTATTCCACATGCAAAACTAGAATTCTAACTGTACTTGCAAGAAATTATGAACGGCGATAAGATAATTTTCAAATTACAAAAATCGCTTGTTCATATTCGTTTCTCTTTTATATACAAACTCATATATCTGATGATATTAAAATATTTTTTATTTTCTTGTAAAAGGACACATCTAAATGGAACTACTTTGCATAAACAATTAATATCGTCATTCTCAACAAAAATTATTATTAACTCGAAATAGTGTTTCAAAGTTGTAATTAAAAAAATTCAACTTTTTTTTTTTGAGGAAAAAAATTAAGAGAAAAGTTTGAAGTAGAAGAAGAATTTTTCTACTTGGTCAAGTGAATTTGTCAAATTAAGATTTACTCTCTAAATCTAAATCAGTAGAAATTTTACTAATTCAATCAGTACTTTTCATTTTAACTGAAGTTTCAGTTATTTTTTAAAATTTACTAATATAATTATTAATTAGTGAATATGCAAGCAATAGAAAATAACTTATGTAAATCAGTAGTTTGTATATAACATAACCTTTAAAATTAACTATATTAAATCAGTACCCAAGAAGCACGTAATATAACCTCAATATCAAGGTAATATTACATGTAAGATTCGTAATATAACGTTGTAATATTACAGTAATCTTACAGTGATCTTAAAATGTCCGCCTCAAGGTAATATTACCGGTAATGTTACTGTAATATTACGCGCTAATATTAAGGTAATATTACAGTAATATTATACCGTAATATTAAGGTAATATTACAAGAGAATATTACAGTAATATTATGGGAACATTTCTTTACGAAAAAAATCTACCCATCCAGGGAATCGAACCCCGAACTCAAAGCACACGAGTCCAGAGTTTTACCAACAAGCCAAATTGACTTATAATATATTTACGTTTTTTATGCTTTATAAATAACTCAAATCAGTCTGTAATATTACTGTAATATTACCGTTAATATTACTGTAATATTACTGTAATATTACCGTTAATATTGCAGTAATATTCCCGGTAATATTACCTTGATGCGGACATTTTAAGATCACTGTAAGATTACTGTAATATTACAGCGTTATATTACGAATCTCACGTGTAATATTACCTTGATATTGAGGATATATTACGTGCTTCTTGGGTAGATTTTGTGGCCGCCGCCATATATTTATATTACTGATTCAATCAGTAATTGATATTTTACTAATTGAATCAGTAAATTTCTACTAATTGTCAGTTACTCAATTCTCGCTATGGAAATTAGTAGATTTCTACTGCTAATAAGTAAAATATGACTGATTCAGATTTAGAGAGTATTTTTAACGCAGATAATGTGGAAAGTCGACTATTTGATACAAAAGTACATTGACTGATATTTTATTGTTTTCTAAGAGAAGATAAAATACGGTTATGAAAACGGATTCTTGACATAAGTAATTGTTTTGCCGTTTCGTGCATTTATCTTCTATTGCGATTATTAGAAAAAGGGTCAAAGCAAATAATTAAATCCTTAATACCTCTAGTGTAAACAAATCTGTAATTTCGAGTATTTTTATCGTTTGTGTGATTCACATTTTTCTATAGTATAATTAAAACACGTGCTCAACATTTGTTATCGCGTTACTCATATATATACAGAGAATTGAGGAAATGCAGAGAAAGGCGCAGAAGTCAGAAAGTGAAGAGGTGGGCGTACTATATATATATTAAAGGCAAAGGTACAAACAAATATATATTTCTACTTCCACATAGGGTGTTCTATTCATAAATAGTTTTCAAAAACAAAATTTTAGAATGAATTCTAGATTTTATAAAATTAAAATAAATTCATAACTGCGCTAAAAATAAATTTACTTAAAATCACTTTATAAATTTATAAAATGTTACAGGAAATTAACATTCGAGTCAATTTTAGTGGAGAAAAATGTATATGTATATAATATGTTGAACATGAATATTGATTAACCAGTGACATAAAATAGATTAATGGACTTCAAGAGAGTTGCAATCACGATTATATATATATATATTGAGAGTTGCCTTGATTGGACCCGCTGTGCAATTCGAGGACAAATTTTTACTTTTTTTTTTACAACAAGAAACTATATCATTCGAAATGCAAATTTTAATTTTCTAGGTGTAACTCGTTTCCAAAATTAAATTAAAAGATCAACTATATTTCCAGAAACGTTGAATAATTAACTTATTTTGAAATTTTCAATGTTTTTAATTTTAATAATAAATTTTAATTCTAATTAATAATAAATAAGTTAATTAAAAAATTAAATTAATATTATAAATTAATTCAATTTAATTTACTCCGAAATGTGATTAAAAAAAAAAATTCCTATCTCTTTTAACATTCTTTGCGCAGGAACAAATTTGTTTCATAAAAATAAATTGCAAATAAAATTTACTCACCACTGATGGAACTTTAGATTCTCTAATGTAACGGCTTGTCAAATATCGCACTACATCGTCTGTAAAAAAAAAAAATAATTTTTATTTTTATCGTCAAAAAAATTATTATTAAAAAATATTTTTTCTATCATTCTATTTTTTACTTAAAAAACCAGTTTTTTGGAATATCAGTATATCATTATCATACTATCATTTAAATTGGTGAGGTTACTCCACAAAGTGATAAAAAAAAAAAAAATAGTAGAAAATTGTTCATAGAAATTGTTAGATGATATCTTAACATTGAAATGCGTAGAACACCCTGTATGTAAGTAGTCTGGCTTGCATGTAACTTACAGAAAACCTGTGCACATAGTTTACGTAAGTGTATTTTATATGTATATGTGTAACGGTACCAACATAGGGTGTATACCTGAGAGAAATAGAGTTATCTTCGCGAACAGGGAATGGCAATGCAAAAGCTGCCAACGCTTTTCCTTAGAGTATATATACATATATGCATAATTCAATAGCGAGTATTGAAAATTAGACACGGCTGACTCGTAAACAGCGGATTACACGTATTACATTTTGTCCCACGTCGAATTAGCGTTGCTGACAACCGTATGCCTTTTCTCTCCTCAATTCAAAATCACATTTATATATATAAATATCACTACAAATGCCACTGTAATCCATAAATTATATATATACGATATGATTTTTCACGCCTCTCAAATATATATATATATATGCCAAAACAACCATTTTCACGCGCTGGTATATCAATTAAATATCGCAAATTATTCAACGCTATTAAACCAGTTAAGTGCGATATTAATTTTAGTAAAACTTAATAATTGTCAAATTACCTAATATTAATGATATGCGATTACTTTTCAGGGAGTATCGAATCAAGATACTTGGAAATAAATAATTAGAAAATTTATTTCCTAATAGGAAACAGATTTTATCGAATAGTGAAGATTTAGCAAAAATTAAAATTTCAAAATGGACATTTCGGAAAAATAAATTAAACAAAAGAAATATATATATATATCTACGGCCCTGTGCCGATTTCAACCTCATCTATCTCATGTTCCATCGGTCCTCATCAAGTTTTCTCCCTATTTGTAATTTGCCTGAGGCCTCTTGGGATCATTACCATAACCGCCACATGCAGAAAACTCGATGCTTATGCGCGCTATTATCCGTTGCTTTTCAAATCCCGTGAAATTCTCGCGTGTCTTTTCTATACATATATATATAAAGTTCTCCGCAGATGAGGGCAACTCTCACCCAAGTAACTGCGACGCATGGTATAACACGATACGAGCACGTTGTCTTTGATGTAATGAGTTTAATGTATCTTCGTATAGATGTAACAACTGAGATTACAGGTAATTTAATTACTAGGCGCTGTCGTTATTTGCTTGTAGCAAAACAACTGAACATGAAAGGAGAGTCTATATTATAAGAAAACTTTGCTCTTATGTCAAATGACAAAATTCACTTGGAAGTTTCCTTATTTATTATTTTTTTTTTATTCTCCATATAAGTTATGCGCAATAATATTTTGCCCCTGGGGTGATAATTCAAAAAAAAAAAAGAATTTACTCCATCACTGAAAATCCTTGCGCACGGATTACTTTCAGGATTAAAATTTATTTATCAGTCATAAAAATTCTTTTTTTTTTTTCTTGAAAAAATTTTCTAACGGTTATTATAATCCATAAATATTACCACAGCTGATGACTATATTACACACGGGATGCAGCGTAACGTGAAATGCATTTGTTCATAAATCATAAATTCTAATCTAAGAAATGGATTATTAGACGTAGAATAAGTTGTGAGAAAACAGTTGATTAGAATTCCACTATAATAGAGAAAAAAAAGAATCTTTTCTTTTTGTAGAGAAAAAATGATTAGTTTTTACCAAAATTTTATCAGGCTAAATATTTCGTTACAAAAAAATTTAGCTAAATAAAAATTGTATAAAAATTCAGTTACATGAAATTTTGGCAAAATGAAAATTATAAAGCAAACATAATTCGAAATTCCATGAACTCAAGGAAAGGAACACGGAGAGAAGAGATTTAGTCTATTCTACTAAACACGTTTAGTCCAGATTCTACTAAACAGCGTAGTCAGAGGGACTACTATAGTTCTGACACACAAAAAAATTTACCGACAGAATAAAAATTCACAAATCTGATTGGTTGTCCACAATTAACCAGATTGCGGACAACCAATCAGATTTCTACATTTCGTTTCTGTCGGTAAATTTTTTTCTATCGATAATCGTGTAAATTTTTTTACTAAACAGTATCGTTCATTTAACTGAATGTTTAGTCCGTCCAAAATGAACGATACTGTTTAGTAGATTTAACTGAGATAGTAGTAAGATCTACTACGCCCTTCTCTCCGTGAAGTAAATTTTAAAAAATTAGTTCAAATGCATATTTATATGTAAACCTACGCTATAATTAATTCACGAATCACGTTCTTCTGAATGCAAATGTTGAGCTTTAAAACATTAGTTTTTTCCATCGTGCCGAGAGAAAACTCTGATTGAGTCACTTAAATATTCCTCATTGTGTAAGTTTGTTAATAGAACTACTCGTATATATATATACAAATATACACTCGCGGGTGCATCCAGATAGAATGAGACATGAGTAAACTTCAGAGGACACGAACTGGTGACATTTTGCAGTCACCTTTCTAATTCGTAATCCACGACCGTCCGTGTTGGCTCAGGACCCTTTCTGACCTCTCCTTTATGATCATCATTCTTCTTCGATTTTTTTTTATCTTTCACGTATAATATAACGTTCTTCATTACGCAAAAAAAAAAAAAAAAAATTACAGCCATAACGAATCGTGTTTCGGGGTGTATCGTTCTCACGAAGATTTATTCTCCCTCTTTCTCTCTCTCTTAAGCTTTATACCAGCATTATTTCACAACGTCTTATAAACCGGCTAAAAGGGTTAATATTGCAGAACTGAAGGATTTTAAAAAAAATTCTACATTACATATTATATATCCAACAAGTAATTTCATTTCTATTGAATGATATTTATCATTTTCTTCACCTCTCTAGAAATATTATTCACCCATCATTCACAATGATTATTACAAACTATCGCAAAGATTATAAATATATATATTACGAAAAATTAATATTTATATTTTAATAAGAGAAAAGCTGTCCATTTATCATCAAATGGATGGACATTAATCGCACATTAATCAAAAGAAAAGTAGTAAATATTTTCCATTACAATATTTAAGATATGCCTGAACAAGTTGTTACTTTTTGTAATAGGTTGTTAGAGGATTTAAATTAAATTGGTTGAAATTGATAAGATTATACTGTTTTTCTGTATATATATATATATATGTATATGTGTGAAACTACTGTCTCATGGAAAAAGGTAAAATATATAAAATTAATTTCAGATAAAAATCAAAACATGTCGGTGCTATTAGAAGCAAGGCCTTTCAGGCCTTTCAAGTCGTCCGAGGAGTACTTAGTCGCAATGAAGGAGGATCTAGCCGAGTGGTTAAATGCCTTGTATCCAGAGTTAAGGATTAACCTGGACAACTTCATGGATAGGCTTGACACTGGTGTTCCCTTATGCAAAGTGAGTATTTTCGATTTAATCTTTCATTTTTTTTTATGTTTAGTTTTCTATATCAAAGGTGATATTAAAGAGATAAGAAAATTTAAATAGTTTTCATTTTTTCCATACAGTCGCAAATCTAACTAGCATTTTACTAAATTTTTTCATACCGCGTATAAAAACAATTACGAAAAATTGTGAAGAAAATTGCAAATGAGAAATTAAAAGAAAAAAAATTCCTGAATAAATTATTAACTAAAAGAAATTTTCAAAGAAGAATGTATGAGTGATGACTGTATATTTCAATTGGTTTTGAAAGATGTATTCTTGAATTTAAGTATCAAAAAAGGGTCGGTTATGCTTCCTTGTAAGGCGATACTATATATATATGTATACATGCACTTCGACTCGTCGTAGATCAGAGAAAGTCTTTTTGTAACCGGACAGTAAACGTCCTCGCGAATGCAAAAGATGCATTCTCAAATGGCTCACACAATCGTCACGGGGCGTACGCATCAAGCGAATATTCCGCGTTCACGCTCTCTCGTAAATCTCTCAAATTTCAAAATTCACGAACGCTCACCCGGGAAGTGATATTAATTGAACATCAGTTGCATTTTCTCGCAAAAAAAAAAGCTTCCGGGTTTTGTCATTTTTTTTTTTTTTTTTGAAACTCGTATTTCAATTGAGAAAAAAATCTTTTCTCCTTCTTTTCATTTGTAAAATGAATTGGAGATTCTCAACACGTGAGACACAGAATTTCCGTTTGAGTGTCACACACATCCTTCTTCCTCTCTTTCTTTCTCTCCCTCTTTTTTTCTCTCTCTCTCTCTCGAAAGAGAATTATCGGGACATGTAAGGCACATGCGCCTCTATATCATCAATGTGACGCACGTGTCTGCATTAAACACAAACGGTTTTTGTTCTCATATTTCGGGACAAGTGCATTCACCTTAAAAATATGAACAAATATTTTTGTAATATTGTATAACAAAAGTTATATGAAAAAAAAAACATTCAAAGACAAATTTCTCTGTATAACAATATTGTCCTTTTTTCATATATATATATATATATATGACTGCCGGTTCTCACAGAGTAAGATAAAATCTCAATATACATAAGACTAGCTGTCCATCTTCTGTTGCATACAAAGATCGTGCAAGGGGCCTTAAGTCTGTATATATATATCCACGAGTTCTCCGCACGATCAACGCGTTATAAATTCAAAGACATATAGAAATATTTAGAGTAGGAAGGAACGATAAGTGAGCAAAAGTTGACTTGGAGAAAGTCAACTCCTTCGTACTGTCTACCGTTGCTTTTATAATTTAAAAAAAAACATTATTATATATTATATGTATAATATATATTTTACAATATAAACTATATCTTCTATGGCATTTTCATTGGGGGACCACGTTTTTAGTATATATCGCAAATACCGTGACTTTATACGGTGAACGATAATAAAACGCGCTTGACATCGCTCGATAAGACTTACGTCGCCACTAATCTTTGCTATAATAATTTTTTTTTAAAAAAAAAAAAAAAAAGGCGTTAAAAGAAAAACGATCGAAAAAAACGATAAAGTCCATTTTTATGACTTTCTGGTTGAGTATGGAACGCGGGCATAAAGCACAATTTTTACGATTAATGATTCCTCTGCTCTCGATTTACATGCAAAAAATATTATTCCGTACCAATATAAGCTTGGACAAAGAAACGAGACTACTTGTCTCTCAAATATTTTTTTTTTTTTTTTTTTTTAATTAAAAATGAATTAAAAAAAATAAAATAATCCGTTACTTGACTATTTTCAAATAAATATTTCCTTGAACCAAATAATTTTTATTTGAATCAATTAAATTTGTACAAAAATTATTCATTCGAATTCAATTTATTTGATTCGAATAAAAATTATTTTGGTACAGATAAATATTTATTTGATCAAAATAATTATAAAAAATAAATAATGAATAGCCAAGTAATTAATTATTTAGAGTAAATTTTTTCAGTATAATTAAATTGAATTAGATAATCCTAAAAAAAATATTCGAAAATTGTGAGATATCAACTTTAATAAGATGAACCAAATTATTTAAATTTCAATTCTGATGCACAACGCATGTATATTTCATTAGCTGTGTCAGAGTCCTCTTTCAATGGCAGTCACTATCCTTGGCATTGAAAGCTTGGAAACTAACGCCAAGAGACGATATTCTCAACATAGAGGCGTCATTTCTAGATAAAGCGTGACACATGTCACGCCGTAGTTTTTTTTTCTGTACAAGATGACATGAAACCAGATGGTATTTTCCTTTATTCAAAACATGGACTGCAAATGTTACAGAGTGAAGCATTAGTTTAAATATGCATTGCATATCATTAAATTCAATGAATAAGAAAAATCATTTTAAAAAACAAAAACATTGGAAAAACAAACTTCGATTACTAAGAATTTCAATCTGTTTAAATATCATCCTTTTTTTATTAGGCAAAATATATAAATAAATAATTTTCCAAATAGAAATTGATAACGAAAAAAACAATTTTTTATTAGAAATATTTCATCAATTCACTGCCTAATATAAAATTTTTATACGCCGTACGATCTATACCCTTGAAAATTCAATAAATGAAGGAAAAAATGAATACACAATTTAAAATTGTTAATATGAAGCGAAACATGCGTGTAATAAAATATGAAAAGAATGAAGCGTGAAGAGCCCTGTGCGCATAAATTATTTTTATTAGCAATCCAAGCGAAGCATGTTTCTGTCAGAAACACTAAAACGATAAAATGCAAAAATCTCTGAATAAGAAGAGCAATAATAATAATATAAATGATATTAAAAAAAAATCGATTTTTAATACCTATATACACAATGAAAATATAGTGAAGAAATAAAATCTTTTATAATAATATAAATATTAATATAAAATATTCATAAGTTGATGCAAGGACAAATTTAATATTCTCACAACAAAGAACAACTCAATATGTGTTTCAATAATATTGTTTCAATTCATTTCTATTTATTAAATATTCAACACTTTTTTTTTTTTTTGCCTTCAATAATTTCGATATTTCTAATTCAAAAAATACTTCCTCTTTCGATTATTATAGAAAAATTAATAAAATGTTTTTAAATGATTTTAGTTAAAACTAAAGTACAAATAGTCCTTCAATGTCAGACAAAGACGATAGACCATGTGATTAATTAAGTGGAACTGACGCCATCTGTTTTTCTTGAAATTCTTACTCAGAATTAGGATTTATCGTTACCCTAAGAAGTTTCATATACTTAAAATTTGCCAGAATTTATACTAATTATAAGACAAAAAAAAAAATTCCAATGAAAATAATTACTAAAAAAAGAAATATTTTTTTCTACTCTAAAAAATTTGATCATTTTCTCAATTTGAAAAATATCTCAAAAAGGTACATAACATTTTTTTGGAGAAATATTAAAGAAAATTATCCCAAAGAAAAAGTACAAAACACAAATATATAAGGATTGTGTCATTTTAGATTAATAATTCCGACAGTAATAGTGATAGTTTGAAATATGAAGATAATTAAAGAAAAGCAGTAAAAATATTATTAAAAGATTATATACAAGTTCGTTTAAAAGGCGAGCGTGAAGCATCTTGTAATGTTGCATTCCATTCATATCGACTCGATATCATCTTGCATTTAATTGCACGGATTGCACGCATTTCCTGTTTTAGAATCTCTCATATGAGAGAAAGAGAGACATAGACATATAAATACTTATACATAAAAACATTGTGAGCCGTCTGCCTGCTTGTCTCGTTAGTGAAAATAATTGTCAGAAAAGAATAAATACACGCATGGATTATTCAAAACACTTTTCATGTGCATTTCATCTCGTCTTAAAATATTATATGGAGCGTTATTCTTCCACTAGAAAGACTATGAATGGATTCATCAGAGACATTGGGGAAATGTGTCCCTCAATTCCAACCCCTTGTTGCTAAATATAACGAGTTGCCTCTTTTAATATACATGGGGTGGGAATATGTCTCGAAAAAGTATATAACGAAAATAGTTTACTGACACAAAGAAATTCTAATCGCAACTATTTTCAGTTATTTCTCAAATAAAATTACTCTCCTACTGCGCGAGGGGGAATTTCTATTTTAATCACCATCCCACAGTTTGATTTTTAAAATTTGTTCCTTTTTCCTTTTTACAATTGTATTTTTGAAAATAATTTCTTTATTTTTTTAAAGGTTCTAAAAAATTTGTTATGTGAAAATCAATTGTTTCTACACCTCATTTATCCGCGTTAATGCTTCTGGCAAATTGTCGCCTTTTGATCTATTGCGCACATTTGGTTTTGTTTCGTTCAACAGTCACGAATATTATGACTACATTGCAATTCATAAGGTTCTTTTTGTCTATATACATAGCTCAATTGTTCGAGAAAGAGAGAAAGGCTTTTCAAGTTTTGAAAAAAAAAAAAAGTCGCGACGGCTTTTCGACCAAGAAAATCTCGTCTCACATATATATAATAATACACGCTGTTTACACGCTCTTCCTCGATTTATAAAAGGCATATTATGGATTAAGGCAAAAGTTTTAAAATGTCGTTCCGCTCAGATGCGATTTTACATATAAAATCCCGTGACAGATGTTTCAACCTCTTTTGCAAATCTATAAAATGATTCAATTCGGAAAAAAAAAAATCTGAGAATTTTGCAAAAAAATTTGGTTTCAAAAGAGGATTTATAAGAAGAATAATTTCGACTCACTAATTGGAAAATAGTATACCAAGATGATATTTAAATAAACCAAAGTCAATTAGCGATAATAATATCATGACAAATGGCTGATGTGGTTAGACTCACCTATAAAATGATAAAAGTGCTGATAATCCACTTAAAGAGAGTCGCATCTCCTCACTATCAGACGCTACGTAATTGACGTTAAGTAACCCGCAATTACGAGCAATTAGAAGCTGGACATGCACTCTCCTAACGCACAATCGTGT